AACTTTCTAGTGTCTATAATGTTGCTGAATTAACTAAACCATAGGACAAACTCTAGTGTCTACAACGTTTGTATCAATTCTTGCGTGGAGCAGAAGGGCAAAAGCTCGCTTGATCTTGATTTTCAGTATGAATACAGACCGTGAAAGGAGGGCCTCACGATCCTTCTGACTTCCCTCTGTCTCTAAAAATAGGATTAAAATTTATAAAAAAATAGATAACTTCTTAACAATAAAATAAATAAAACTAGAAAAATGCTATAAAAGTAGATAAGTGATCTTAAAAAAAGTGAGAATGATAGCAAAGGGAAAAAAAAAAAGTTTTCTTCCGACCAGTGTAAACAAATCTATGCCTTCTCTACTCACACTAATGTCCCCCACTATCTACCCATATCTCTGCCTTTGGATCCAGAAGCAGTGGATGGGGGAGCATAACACCAGGGAACAGAGTAGGCAATAGAAAGCTTGTGTGTTCATCATTTTATCTGCATGTACTTTCAGCTGCAAGAGTTTGTATGGAATTAGAGTACTAACAATTCTTTGATTAGACTTTTACCATTCTACTATGATGAAGGAAAAAAAAAGACTGCAGATATTTTTTTTGCTCACAGTGTAGTGGAAGTTCAATCTACTTTATAGCTTGCACGCAACAAATTGGTAATTAACCTTGCATAAATAAAAACATGACATTTTGTACTCTCATTAAGAGCAAGTCTTCTTCCAGAATCTGAATCCACCCTGAATACAGTGGTCCCTGGTTGTGATCATAACTATTAAAATAAAAATAATCTTAGTAGGAAGCATCTTTAAATATGGCAGTTGTGCATTCCTGTTGGGTCTCTTGATTTCCTGCATGGGCTTTTCAAACTTTCTGTTCAAATTCGTTGGTTGCATTCATTGAGCATCTTTATCCCATTTAGTTTTATAGTTATTTCATCTCTAGCTTAATTTTGAGCAAGCATAGGTGTATCTGTAGGTTTGTGAACTCTCTTGCCACTATCAGCTTTCTGGCACATAATTTATATGTAGATTATGTCTTGTTGGTCATGATAGTGACTACTCGTGATCTCCTTTTTGGCACATACCACTTAAATGTGTTAACTTTTCTTCTACAAGTTTATTTCCTTTGCACAGATTACGAAAAATTTTTGTTCATCTAACATTTCCCGAGGTGTTCTGGCTTTTCCCATAGTGATTCAATGGACATTTTGTTGTCCCATTCTTCTATTGATCTATCTATGATTTCCCCATCAACTAACTAAAAACAATATAATCTACATACAAGTTAGCACCTCTTTGCCATTAAGATGTTTTATTTCATTAAGAAATATATTGGGAAATATCACAATATGCACAAATCTCTGCATATCTCTTAAAGAATTCCTCTATTATAAGCAATGATCTTTTTTTATACACCTGTATTTACTTACAGGGTGTCTGTATCTGCAGATGCTGTAATGTGATAGGAGTACACCTACTCTTTTAGCTCTGCTGTGCAAACTCTCATGTCCTGACTATATCCATCTTCTTTATTCCTTGACCTGGACTGAAAATTACTTCTCTAAAAATAAGACTCAAGGGATGGCTGAGCATTTAGCTTCATTTTATACTCTGCTGAATCCTTTCCCTATTCTCAAATTCCTTTCTATTCTCAGATTTTTCTTCAGTGTTTTTCTCTGCTTTCTTCTCTCTAGGACCTACGATCTGAATGATTTTGAACTCCGAAACACTGAGACATTATATCTGTTCTGATTTACTCTTCTCTAGAGCTCAGTTATTACTGTTCCTAGTATCGGCATTGCAGACATCTTAGGTTTTGCATTTATGTCCAGATTAAAAATTAATTGCTTTGCATTTTGGTGAAACTTCATGCTCATTAATTTTCTTCTGCAGCATTGTCCATTGATCTTAGGAACAGCTCTTCTCCAGCAACAGTGCTGTGATTTTCAGCTTTGTCTGTTTTCTGCTCTGTGCTTTTATTTGCAAGTTCTTGTCAGATAGGAAATACAGTGCAATTCTCTTATTGTTCTTCAGATACACTTTGTTTCTTTTTATGGCTGTATTTGTTACACTGTAAGATCCACTTGTATTTCTGCAGTTTATCTATGTGCTTTCCTCAGTTCCTGCTTCAGTTTTGTTTTGTTTTTCTTCCTTTTATTCTTGGATATTCTGGCATTTTGATTTTATCAGGCTACTTCTCATTCGTCAATCTGGATCACATAATTTTGTTTACTGTACAAATTCTGGTTGCTCCTTCCAGTTGTTTTAATTAAATGTACTTGTCCATCTTCCAGTCAGAAACAAATTCTCTGTCAGGGTCAGAACATATACTTCTAAAATTGTACGGCTGTTTTCTCATCAAGAGATAATTAATTATTTTTCTTGGCCTTTATATTGCTACTGCTTTGCCTTTGCAGAGGTCAGTATTCATCTAATTTCTGCTGAGGAGTTTTATAATTCATTTTCCCTGCTTTGTTCAACTGGAACTTAAGATAACTTAGGGGAACTTCTTAATTTCCCTCAAGATAACTTTAAGGGGAAATGGCTGCAAGCTCAAAGAGGGTAAATTTAGGTTGGTTATAAGGAAAAAGACTTTTACAGTAAAGTACAGGTGAGGCACTGGAGCGGGTTGCCCAGAGATGTTAATACTCCGTCCCTAGAGACATTCAAGGTGAGACTGGATCAGGCCCTGGGCAACCTGATCTAGCTGTGGTGCCTCTGTTCATTGCAGGGGGGTTGGACTAGATGACCTTTAAAGATCCTTTCCAGCTCTAAGGGTTCTATGATTCTATGATTCTAACTTAAAAAATACCACAGATGTTTCAAAATATCTCTTATCTTATATGAGACAGTGAGTTATGGAAACATACCTCAGGTTAAGATTGGTGTGTCTGACCAACACCATGTGACGACAAAGAAAGTTTGAGGCACAGCTTGAGACAGTAGCTGTTTTGGGACGTGGAACATAATGCTGTATATACTTTGGAGATATGAAGAGAGTTGGTGCACAGAGGGAGAGAATGATGACAGGGTCTGGAGGGTGCTGCGCTGAACCAGGGCATAGTTAAAGATAATCACCTGATAGTAAAGAAGATGCATATTATTAACATGAGGGTCAGTATTAGGAGAGATTACCAACACTGACCCAGAAGTCCGGGAAATCTATTAATTTTATTCTTGTTATATATCAAAACTTTTGATTTGATCCAAAGTATTTTTTTTTTAATAACATTCAGTGCCTGATAACACTTACTACCTTAACTGTATTTTGATTTTTTTCAGGATAGTTCTCTACAGTGGTTCCATCACGCTTTCAGCATGCGTTGTTCTTACCACAGTTTGGTTCACTTCTACATGAGTAGGTTTAAGCTGCTACATTACTTTTGGAGCAACTCACATGCTTAGTCATTCTCACTGGCTCAGGGAAGCAAATCTTTGTACAGTGCTTACATAGACTTTGAGTTCTTACGCTTTGATATTTTTCCTGAAGGAGCTTCTCTCTCCTTTAACAACAAGCACACTTGCAATAAAAGAAATATTTTCTGACATATCACACTTGGAGGAAGAGGTACCATGTGAAAATTCATTATTTAACTCTATGAGTTAAATAAAAAAAAAAAAGCATCATTAGATATATTCAGGAAGAAATGCTGAGGATTTTGCTGTTTCTAACACTTGTAGAAATACCTGCTGAACCATAAAAGAAAGCATACATTGAACCTAGGAAGATTATAAAATGATGCCTTTTCAGAATCCCTGAGTTTATGGAGAAGAGAAAAATGTCATTACCAGTGTTTCAACCATGCAAGCATATGCATATCTTCCTGTGAGAGAAGTATAGATTATAAAATCATGTTACCGATGACAAAATAATAACGTAAATATTATTTTTGCCTGTGTTTGAAAAATAATAGATGTGATTTATATTTTAATGAAGTTTGTTGACTTTGTTCTCAATAAATAATGTATCAGCTGTCATTCTTGCAGTTTTTATGTCTTAGATATCTTCATGCTGCAAAAGAATAATCTGAGTATATACTAAGAAGCTGCAACTTCTAACCCAATTTTAAGCAAATTAGTTTACTTGTTTTCTCTGATTAAGTTTTCCATCTATAAAATGAAAATATACAAATGTACTTTCTTCAAAGTTACAGTTCTTAAAGTATTTTGAAGACTGATGTTTAAACTCATTAGGTCTTCAGCATTTCTTATTGCTATTTTGTATAGTAACGATAAATTTTGCATTTTGTTGTCATAGACAATTACATTAACTTGATCACTATTTTACACCTTTGCTTTTTGTAGGGTAACTACTATTAATGTGTATAATAGTTTACATTTGCTATCTCAAAGCCTTGTATAAAACAGTGAGGTGATGTTTCAGAATATTGCTCTGACGTAAATTTGGATTCTTACTCTCATTTAATTGATAGAAAACTGAGACCAGAGACTTTCAAAATAAATGTAAGTGAGATGAACCATCATCTTAACCGTTTTACACAGGACTGCATAGTTACCAAATATCAGAACTGGGACTATAACTCAGACCTCATGTCTCAGATAAAGCCAGAGCAGTCTTTACTTTAGCAATACTAACATGTGCAGTCTACGGGTATTCATCAATTAAAATATATATATACATGAATGATAGAATTGTTTAAAATGCTCCAGAATGGCTAACTGGATCTTTTTTTTATTTATTTATTTCTGTGAACAGCTCAAATTCAAACTGATTCAATCATCTTTTGCATTTATGGAGTTAATTTTTCATTACTCAGTTTTAGAGTATTTAGCATTTTTTCACTGTGCTGATTAAAATCTGTTGTATATAATAATTACACTAATTTTACCATTCAAACACTCAAAAACGATTTTTAAATCTTTAAATGGATTGTAGTAAAAGTCTGTTTGCATTATGTGTTTTCGTCGTGTTCTCTGTAAAAGTTAAACCAATGCAAAATCAGTGGATTCCCAGTTCTAAAGAAAAAACTCTTTTTTCATAGGAGGAAGAACTGAGGAAAAGTGGAGAAGCTAAATATGCGCACTTGAGTGATGAGCTTCATGTATTAATTGAAGTGTTTGCTCCACCTGGGGAAGCATATTCTCGTATGAGTCATGCCTTGGAAGAAATAAAAAAATTCCTCGTTCCCGTAAGTGTCTTACAGCATTCTTCTGTGACTGTTCGTGGTTTCACTACATTAAATTTGTGCCTTCTTTAAATGCCTTCAGCTCAAGAAAAAAACTAAATGGTCTGTAATGGTCTGTTGAAGATTCAGCTAAAGGATATACTAAACAAGCCATTAATTGTCATAGTTGACCCCCCTCATGTGTTTTCTGTGTGTTTTGATGTTAATTTGTCCTACTTTCTTGGTTTTTAGAGGAAAGAATGGATTGTTTTTGCTGGTTACAATCATTAATCATTAGTATGCAAGTAAATTTTCAAGATTTTTGAATGTTTACATCTATAAAAACATTTAGATATGTCATAAGGTGATGACTTATCTAAAATGATCAATGATTTTTGTCTGGAGAAAACGAGCAAAACACTCCTCAGATTTTATACTGATTTTTCTGCTCAGTTAGTCTTGAATCAGATCAAAATTTAGCAATCCTCCATCAGCTAGGGAAGTGCTCAAGCAGTCACCAAAGCCACTTCTTTTGGACCTTTTCAATATTATTTAAACTAAATACATCACTTTCTGAAATATTTACTGGCTGATTTTTCTCCAAGCTCTCTGAAATGGATTTTCTCTACATTTATACAGTAGTATGTGATAATTTTGTACTTAAAATTCTTGTAGAATTTAAATATATACACACTAAGTATTAAGTACTACGTAAATATTTATATGTTATATATATAGTATATATTAAGTACATATTATATATATATATATAGTACTTAATACTATGTAAATATTTATATGTTATATATATAGTATATATTAAGTACATATTATATATATACATAATACTTTTGTACAGTATGAGTTATTGTTTGCAGTCTATACTGAGACTATTAAGTGCTTCAAACATGTTCAGAACTTGCATTCGTTAAGAAAATGAGTAGGAGTTTTTTTCTATTTGTAGAAATGAATTGCAATAAATGTTCATATCTCTTAATAATTACAGAAGGATTCAATTAATGTGTTTTTATCACATGAGATATAACGCCAAGATCAGAGATATTCAGATGAGGCACACATCTATTTGCATGGCAGAAATTAAGTGTTTTATATGGTTCTCAGATGGAGGTTCTGGATTTGAAGAAAATGAAATACATGTGCTATATTTAAGTACAATATTTTAAACTTTCAAATTTTTAAAGCAATTATACATTTTTAAGAGTACAAGATAAGTAACTTAAATCATTACAAATAAGATTAATATTTGTTTTAAATAGCATGATTGATTGGCATCAAGTGAGGGACAGCAAAGAACCTCTTTTAAAACATTGATTTTATCTCACAGATTTTCCCATTGTATCCCATTTTATATTTCCAGATTAAAAACAAACAAACAAACAAACAATAAACCAGAGATCATAAAATACTGTTTTATGTGTTTTTATATGGGAGAAAACCATGAGACAAGAAAGCAGAAATTCATTATTTCTGGGGCTGTTGAACCTGCAATACAGAATAAGATCACTGTTATAACGCCGACAACAGCATGGAATTGTATTTGGGCATCAAATTAATGGTGAGATTCCTAAAAAATCTGGAATATTATAGCTAAAAATGGCAGTGGAGCTGATGATAAAGACTCTCAGCATTTGTCCTTTGGATAAACCTATTTCCAGTTCATGATCTCAGCACGCTTTGCTTCTATGAATGGTTTCTTTTTTAAAAAGATAGCTTCATATGTCTTCTTCATTCTGAAAAGGAGCCACTGCATTATACGATTACATAGTCATGGTCTCCATTTCTGTGTGTTCTTGATTTTTATCATCCATCACATATTCTGTCCAGCCTGAGAAAATCCATTCTGAGTGAAGAAGGGGGAGGGAGTACTCTGAGGAGAGAAGTGTTAAAATTTACGGTGCATTACTGCTTAAAATATTAAAATATTTAAAATATTCAGAAACTGACCAAGCATATCTTTTGTGTGACACATTATTTATTGATAAGGATTGTATGTATTCTCCATCACCAGTAAAACAGCTGAAATGGAGGAAATTAAAAAACCCAACAAATTCTTTGTTATGAGATTTGGAACCTGGCTGGCAGTGGCAATAATCACTCCAAATAAGTAACAATCATACTTTATGACTTGTTTGTTGGTTTTATCCCCTTTGCTTCATTTCAGATTTACAAGAATTTACAAAGCAATTATTAACTGGCTGGTTACAGCATGCGTCAAGGGGTTTACACTGAAAAAGCTTGCATGAGATAATTTCCATTTTGTTCCCTATTTACAACATCTCTTGAATTTGTTTTATGATGTATTGTTGTTTATAAGGCCTAATTTATTGCAGCAGTGAATATCAGAATTGCATTACAGGAGTGGAAGCAGTAGAATCTAACAGTTTTATTTATACCAAATAAAGGATGTTATAAACTATTTAAATGAGTTTTCACATTGCTTATGAATTTTGTTAAACTGAAATGAAATATTGCCCTTAGAAATTACATTGATTATTTGTGTCAGTAAGATGAAAGGACATTTTCATACCATATCTGTAAGTTTTAATGGGACTGAATTTTAAAATAAGTGCATAGCAATCATAACAACAGAAAAACAAATTGTGGAATAGGGCAGAAGAAAGAAAAAAGGGAATAAACATTTAAAGGTTCATTAACTTATGCAAGATTATATTGAACAAATACCTTCAGTTTCATTTGGATTAATTAGTTTTTGATCTTGCCCAAAAACAGCATTGAAATTTTAAGGTTTTATCTCAAACTTGGAGGTAGAAAACAGTTGCCAGTTTATACTGGTTCTTCCAAATGTGAATACATTCTAAGTCAGAAGCAGCTCAGCCTCAGGTGGTGTTTTGGGATCCCTCCAAGTGGCATTTAAATGTATGATTTAACCCAGGATGTCTTCAGCCTTCAGTTGTTCAGTGACTGACAAGCTGCTAAAGCTGAGCTGCTTCATTTACTGTCTGCTGCTTTCATTTCACAAATGGCTTGCAGTCTGTGTAGGAGCCACACTCAGGGCTTTGCTACCTGGTGAATGAGATTAATTTTGCAACTGACTTTGCTGGATCTTTTGTCTTTTATGCAGAATATTGGCTTCTGGGGATATGAGGAGACCTTACTAATGTCAACTAGAGATTATACTGTGTTGTTTGATTTGTCAAAAGAGCAAAGGGGATTGGAGTTTTGAAACTTAACTCCTCTGTGTACTATATATATATATATAGTATATTTTTTATTCATATAAAATATATATATGCAATATATATATATATTGCAACATAATAAAAAGGAAGACCACAATATGCTTCTTAAAATCTATCTTTTAGGGTAAAAATCACATTTATGCTGATTATAACATAAATTGTGCTAGCAAGCATTCCAAGTTTGTGGAAAGTACAAACAGTAGGGACTAGAGATTCTTTTTTATTATCTTTCTCATAACAATTAAATTCCTTACAAAGTTGCTTGGTTCCAGAAGCTATGGCTTTGAGAATAGCAGAATTTTAAGACTTCAAATGCTAATATCTTGATCACTTTGTGTTTCTTTGTATTTGCAAGTAGAGTAAGAAACATTCCCAGTTTTCTCCACTGGTGAAATAACCAGAGAGCTTCAGGGAGTGGAAGGCAGGAGGGCACTGTGGTAGAAGGCCACAGTGGAAATGGTGGCTCTGGGACAGCTGGGGTGGAAGCTGGATTCAGAGCTCTCAGACATGGTGGGAACCTCAGAGCTGAGCTCTCAGGCATGTCCAGGTTTCAGGTATAAAAAGAGCTGGGGTTTCCCTCTGACTCCAGTCATCCTCTCTGTACCCCAGATTAGATAAGTGACATTAACCCAGATGACCTCCAGCAGTTCCTTCCAACCTTAGTCATTCTGAGACAGGTTTCTTCTCTTCACCTCTGTGTGCTTTTTGTGAATACTAGAAGTGCAAGAGGTCTAAGTGCAGAAATGGCTTTCGCAATTGACAAGGCCACTCTGATGTCTTAGCTTGTTAGTAAACCACATTTTTAACCCAGCTGATGCGCCATGCTTACAGATTACTGGAGTTGCTGTCTCTGAAAGCTTATCTTTATGTTACAGAATAGTTTAATCCCTTCTTTACCAAAATGCAGTAAAAATATTTCGTATTACAAGGAATTGTATGCTGTTCTTTTGCATTTAAATTTTAGTATCTGATATTATTTTTCCCCAGATACTAGATCTTTTGTTATTCTTAGCAGTAAAATTAACTTTCATCTAAACACAGTCCTGGGCAAGCTTTTCTAGGTGCCTTTGCTTGAGATGATTTCCAGAGATGCTTTCCAACTTCAGCCATTCTGTAAACTTACCCCACAGACAGATATACTTTGCACAGAGATATTTACCTCTGTGGTCACAGATACAATAGAATCCTTTATTGTCTGACAATCAGCAACTTCTGATCCCAAACTGCATGACATGCAGGTCTGGCTAAGGACCCGCTGATATTGTGTCCCGTTCCTTCAGAATGGGAACCAGGGACAGCAAATTAAAAAGAGAAATCTTTAAAATAGCCAATTATGGAGGAGGAGGAGCCTAGAAGATTTTTGTGCTCTGCTGATTTTAGTAAATGCTGTTAAAAATTTCCTCATCACTAATGAGCATTGAAATGCTGCATAATTTGTATTAGATATGACTATATCATTCTGCTTTTACACACTAATATAGAACAAATATATATATATTTAACAAATTAATATTTCCATATATTAAAGGGCTATATGATCCTTAGGATCTTTAGGATTTCTATGCTTCATAAGGTGCAATTTTTTTTCTGACAATCATTTCTACCCTTGTAAGCAGTACATTTCTATTTGCCACAGTTAGCATCCCTTGAGACAAGGACGGAAGCTGATATTGATCATTCATTTCACAGATGAGTGCTCTATGATAGTGAGCTATTATGTAGAGGATAGTTTGCAGCTGGTGTGCCATGACTACTTCAAAAGGATTGTTTACAAATGTGGTCAGATGATCAGAAATTTAACCA